ATTTATACCTCGTTTTCATTTGTCAGGCTTCTTTGCTTTTTTGGCAGTGAAAGTTTCTCGTCTGCCGAAAATATTTCCTCTGGATTATTTATTTATTTTATTTTGTTGCTTTTTGTCTTTGAGAAAATACATACACAAAGTATCTTTTTGTTCAGGAATTTTGTTTGTTTTTAGTTGAATCGCCATGACTGTAATGACACAAAATGGTTGTTATAATTTGCCGCGTCTAAAGTTTCCAGTCCCGTATTTTAGCTACAGGTTAACAACATCGAACAAGTTCCCTAACAGCTCTGGGCTCGCTTGTGGTTTCCAATGCACTGCAAGTTTCAATGCATTATTGACTGATTCTACGCCGTTACTTGTCCATAGCTTTTTATGATGTTGTTTTGTGCCTTGGTCTACAGAATTTGAAGTTTCTGGTAAAACAATTAAAAAACGTGTTGTTTATAAGTACACCAATTCTCTCTAATTCCAAAGAATTGGTGGCATTAATAAGCACTTGGTCACCAAGCATATTTTCATGTAAATCTGTGAATATTTTTCAGACGTTTGGATGAAAACACTCAGGACGATTCAGGAAAAGGATGTTTGATAGCTTTAGTTACAACTTTTTCTTCTTATATGCCTAATTTCATGAGTGTAGGTATGCGAAAGTCTATTGTATCTATTATTTTATCCAAATACCAGAAATAAGAGAAACATAATTTCTGTAAGTTTGGTATGATGCAATGCAGGAACAAAGGAACAATGAATTATCACTAGTTTCCTTTCTGATTACATATTTTGTATATAAAAGTGGTGACATAATAATGTTCCAAGTAAAATGTCCCATTTATTCCTGATTTTAGAGAATTTATGTTTTAAAATGTTGCATCTGCATCATTTGCTCTTTGGAATACCAAAAGATGGATGATACCTGCTTCTTGCATAATATCTGGAGCAAAAGGGTGGCATACATATGACTTGCAGAACTACACCGACTATAGTCTGGTCCCCTGCTTAGTATGCTCCCTGCGTTGCACTCCGAATTGCAACTCAGGGAGCATACTAAGCAAGGGACCAGACTACATCTACGATGAAATTTAATTTTTTTACCTTTGACCTTTTCTTCCTTTCTTGACAATGCTTCATGCTCCGTACTTGTTTGTTTGTTTTTGTTGGTTTTTTTTTTTTGGTCTCTCGGTGCCATCATTTATCGCATCGATATAAATTTGTTGTGGTCTTATTTGCTTCTTCTTTAATATGCGCCCTCCATTTTGGTTAACGTTGCTCAGTGAATACAAACCTGTTTGATGTTTGGGGAGTGACCTATATAGTCATCAACTGAGATTTTTTTATTTCCGGATTAGCTTCCGATGAGAACCAACTTACCTTATTAATATAGGATGTAGCAGCTGTTTAGGGAATAGAATCGATTATAAGTGACTACATCACTTAATACTGGTTGAGGATTAAGCGGTACCCAACAGAAAACACCCTTACGCATAAAGTATGTTTGGTACCGTGATCAATAATCGACTGGATGCAAATCACTTCCAGTCAACAAGAGAGACTTAGATTGTTTACATTTACCAAATAATGATCACAATCTTATTTACATATGCATAGACTTCCCACAATATATTTAATGTGTGCATTTGAGTAAAACCAGGTGATGTTATCTGATTTGACAATCTGGCTGAGCGAAGCTTTTAGTTTGCAAAAATCACATTTCATGAACAAGAACATACTTTTGGTTCTATTCAAGCTGAGAAAATGAACAATTAAAAAAATCAGGAGGGGGCGAGAGCATTCTTTTGCAAGTGGAATTTGGAGGGGAGATATATTCTGGCACAAAGATGGGTAATATAGGGTAATCTCGATTTTTTTTCTGTATTTGTTCCAAACTGGGACATGTACTGCATATCATTGATGGATCTCAATAATACAACTGTAAAACATAAGTGGAAATCTAGCACCTTAATTTGTCATGCTCGATTAATTTACTGTGCCCAATGTTTAACAACGTTACCATTCGGACTTGCTTCGTCCGATCAGTTCTTGTGCTTCCCGAGTGATGGAAATGAGAGTATTTGCATCGCATCCATTGTAGTAGTCTCCCTTCTCATTTTCGATAGGAAGATTGACCTTTATTTAGCGCAAGTCACACGGGTTATGTAAGATCAATTACTGATATAAATTTAAAATACAATTTAATTTTAAAATTGAATCGTTATATAGTTACAATAAAGTTTATTCCATCGCAATTTTTAAGTGATATACACGTTAATTGTCATAACAAAATTACCATACGAATAATATCGATCGCTATTTTTTTGTACAATGCCAGTTCGCATTACACTGGTCAAAAATGTCGATATTTTATTGCACTATTACTGTTTCTTCAATGATATTTTAGCATATATGAATTAATATAAATCTGAAGTGACAGCAGTGTTTCTAGTCTTTTACTTGTATGAAAGTATATATTTATATGGGGAAATAGGTACTGTGTACTAATTGAAACAAAACACGTGATATAATACATAAGATATATACGAAGTTACATAATTGTCTCCAATTTATTGGACTTGTGTGCCGATATTTTCTTCCTAGCGATGTTTTCCAAGGCTTTGTTTTTAAATGATGACATTGTCGCTACTCTGTTTATATTTGTAGTAAAACTTTTTCCCAACTGCAGGCGCGTTCCTTCTTACAGTATAGCGCGCGACAAATCCAGTTCAAATAAGTTCACACCGCTTGCTCGATTTTGCCTTAAAATGTTGTAGTACGTTATCATTGAATTTGCCGATAAGCATTTTTATTTTCTTCAAGGAATTGATACAATAATTTTCAATGGAATTTTATTGGACTTTGCGCGAAATAAAGTGAATAAACGCTATTTAAGGTATGTGTTGTTAAATTCTCAAAAATGTAGCTGCAAAAAGTGACTTAGTGCGCGTGCAAGAGCACTGTGACTTATACTGTAGTAGTATTTCAGTTGCTGATATATTTTATAATTCCTCAAAATTTTTATTTATGTAGTTTTATTTTTTTTTTACTTCATTTTTACGATCATACAAATATACATCATGAAGAGAACAATGTTACAATCTTCTACACATCAGCGAAAGTGCCCGTTTTATTGATAGTTACGTCATTGTGTTTGAAAGAGAAACTTTAGCTGGCTCGTTCATGCCGGCCAAGGAAATGTTACTTGTGCCTTCATTAACCTGTCCAGAAGCTTTATGAGCAATTTTAAGAAATGCGGAAATCTCCTCACATGTAGACATGTGATAAAGGAAGTTAATTGATTGTCACCCGTGGCGTACCACTGCTACTAAGTGTCAAGTAATGCAATTTTATTATTACTGTCTGCAGTAAAATATGTATCTATCAGACTGTGTAAAATCCATATTTAAGAGCATATGTATGTACGCCAAAGGAAAGCAATAAAGTTGTGAAAAAAATTATATTTGTTCTGAAGAAAAAAAAATCGTTCAAAATATTGATGATAAAACTAAGCAAGAATTAAGACGTCATATCTTAAAATTTTGAGATGCTATATGTGCGTCTGATGATGTCCAGTTTCTTTAGTTCATGAAATGAACTTTAAAAGATAAATGCTGTGGTTTTCATGTTTTTTATGACATATGAAGTAGTGTGCCAATGTTTTTCCTCTGAAAACAACTTCGTTTCTGCAGCATAAGACGTGTGTGTATGTGTGTGATTTGTATTTTTAACGTAGCTTTAACAATTTTTAGTCATATCGCTACGATGTCTGCAGCGTGGCAATTTATAATGTAGTGATTATTAACTCGGGGGCATCATGCCGCATAATAGTCACATTATCCTGACACAAGGCCGATCAGTCCTAACACTAACATCTCAATACTGAGCGCCTAGAGAAACAGCTGTTAGTAACATTTTTATAAGCATTTGGTTTGACTGGGCTGGGGACCAAACCCACGACCTCCCGCACACGAGGCAGACGCTCTAACCACTAGGACAGCGGAGCGGTCCATAAGACTAGACTAGTAATCTGCAATCTATATTTACCATACTTGCTTATGTCTTACATTTGCGATAAGGATCAATTTTATTGATCACTGCTGTGACTGAAAGGAGAATTTCATCTATATAATAACTTAGTTCTGCCTATCTAAAATTACCAAAATTTATGATGCCTTGTACTTAGTATAAAGATGAATCCAACTGATATTTGGGTCAAAAGGTCAAAGGGCAAAGTGCCTGCTAGAACAAATATGGCTTCCTCACAATGACATTAGTTTAACTTCATAGATCTGGACCAAAAGGTGAATGGTTTGCACATACACCATGGATGAGGCCAACTGATATATGGATCAAAAGATCAAGGTCACTTTAAAGAGTAAAATGGTTTCTGCAATAATATATTATATTATCTACATAGCAAGCTTATTAAAATTAAGTTCGACAGCATAATGGAGACATGACGGAATCGGGTCACAACTTCAATATTTATAAAAGCGTGGAGATCTGACGGAATCAGGTCACAACATTTACATTTATAAAAATGGGTAGATTTGACAGTGTGTGTGTGTGTGTTTTATTTTTAAGGTAGTTTTAAAAAATTACCATCATATCACTACGATGTCTACAATGCTACAATGTGGCAGTTTACAGTAATGTCTAGCATTGGGGTATCATGCCAGACATGTAGCACGATGTACACCAAGTAACCTTTTCCTGCCAACAGTCAGGTCACAACTTTCACATTTATAAAAATGGGTAGATTTGACAGTGTGTGTGTGTGTGTTATTTGGATTTTTAAGGTAGTTTTAAAAAATTACCATCATATCACTACGATGTCTACAATGCTACAATGTATCAGTTTACAGTAATGTCTAGCATTGGGGTATCATGCCACAGACATGTAGCACGATGTTCCTGACAACAGTCCGACCAGTCCTAACACTAGCCTCTTAATGCTGAGCGCCTAATGAGGCAGCTGTTAATAACATTTTTAAAAGGTTTTGGTATGACTTGACTTGGGTTTAGACCCACGACCTCCTGCATCCGAGGCAGATGCTCTAACCACTTGGCCACCAGAGTAGTCGGGTAGATCTGACAGAACCAGGTTACAACATTCACATTTATAAAAATGAAAAACATTTGGAACAAATTTCAAATGAAAATTCTCCCTAGCATGCAATGCAACACTCTGTCTAAAAAATTAATAAAAGTGGTCCAGGAATTTTAAAGGTCACCAGAACATAAACCTTTATTGGTACCCATTTGAATCTACCTTCTATAAATAGATTTTAACCTGATTGTCTACATAGAGGATAAACAGGGATAGGGATATAATGTGGAATTTAATCCTATTGTTAAACGCAGATGTTTATAATGTGTTTTTCATCATGCTCTTGACGAGATAATATAAAACTTGTGCATAAATGTTCATCTAAGAGCAAAAAAAAAAAAAGGTGAAGTTCTGAAAATGGATTATTTTTAAACAGTGGAGAACTGAAAGTGGATTACTTTTAAAGTGAAGAACAGAAATGGATTATTTTAAAACAGTGTAAACTGAAAGTGGATTACTTTTAAAAAGAAGAACAGAACGTGGATTATTTTTAAACAGTGAAAACTAAAAGTGGATTACTTTTAAACAGTGAAGAAATGAAAGTGGATTACTTTTAAATAGTGGAGAACTGAAAGTAGATTACTTTTAAACAGTGAAGAACTGAAAGTGGATTACTTTTAAACAGTGGAGAACTGAAAGTGGATTACTTTTAAACAGTGAAGAACTAAAAGTGGATTACTTTTAAACAGCACTGTCAAGAAGATAATTTTTCAACAGTGAAGAAAATAATCCTGAAAGCAAGCCATCAGACAAGATTTGACCTATAAGGTATCTGGACTAAGGTCCTACTCACTGCATTTATAATTCATAACTTTAAAAGCATGTCGTGAAGAGTATTCAAGAGAAGACAATGTTGGAGATCTGATACATTTAAAAGAGAATATTTTGGCTCAGTAGTTTATTGCACCCATATGATGTACAATTTTCTAGATACCTAAATTATGCTAATTATTCACCACAATAACAAACTGGTTTTCTTCTCATCTCCACTATATATATATATATATATATATATATATATATATATATACCAGAGTGGAAATCCCCAAGTACAATTCATTATAGGACTTTAATTTTCATTTCTCTTATATGATGATCCTCATCTTGGTTGCATTTACCACATTAAGATTTAAATGTAAATAAACCAAATCCAGAAAGTTGTTAGGTAAACTCCACAAAAATTCTATTCTATTATATTTTATTTCTTGTTCCAATAAAGAAAAATTTTCTATGCTGGAGCTTATTAGGTTTCATATAACACAGCAAAGAACTTGTTATCTGTCCACCACCATTTGTCTTTATGCCCATATGCTTTGTACAGAACACTTTTCACCAGAACTGACCCATTGATTCATTGACCCATATTCATTAAAATCAGAAATTTTCTGATAAATATTATGTGTACAAAAACTATTGACAACCTTTCAAAAAAAAATAGCAAAATTAAAAACGACTGAATTTGAACATATTGTAAAAAAAAGTGAATGCTGCCTCAGTGCAAAAGGCTTGTCAATTAGAATTCAGACCAATTAGCAGCATCGAAGCAATTATGCAATAGATTAGGAGTGACTGAAATTTTTTTTAAAGCTAAGTTAAAAATCCAAATCAAATACAAAACACACAGATGAGTGACTAAAATATAAGCTGTTAATAGCTCAGCTGCAGAAAGAGTACAAGAAATAGCCAAAAATAGAAAATAAACTTCTCATTTTCCTTCATTCCATTAACTTCTCAAAAGAAATTGTAGAGATATGACACATTTTAAGGAGATGTCTGTCTGACAAAGTTTCCTTACTTTTAGCTTTTAGGAAAACTCCACAATGAAAAGCCTTACAAATAAAATACACGTTTTTTTTCAAAGATGAGACCCACACATATAAACTGAATATTATTCTTATGCTCAGAGATTAAAATCACAGCTATTTCTGACTTGTTTACAGCAACCAGAGTTTATAATAATGACTACTGTATTATATACTTGTGTATAAGCCGAATAATTTAGGAAAAAAATAAAGGCCTGGAAGAAGGGGGTTGGCTTATCCATGGGCCACAGCTTTAAGGTCTTTTTGTTGACTACTGAAAAGGCTGTAAATCTTGGGACACGAAAATATAAAAAAATTTTCAGTGTCCTAAGACATAACACATGTAAAAGAAATCATTTTTGGTGACCTGATACTTATTAAACTGTTATCAAGTACTATGAATGATTTTTTTATTATTTTGCATGTGCATATTAATTAAATAAAGGTAAATACAGACTTAATTCACAGGCAGGTTGAGTTTCCCCAGAACACCAGGCTGAACTAAACTGTATGGTATTTACATAGTACAAAGTGTGCATAGCGTCACGTAAATCCTTATTTATTCCCAAAGATACTGGATGCAGATTTTCCTTTATTGTTTCGACCAAACTGCATTCTTCCAGATAATGTTTCAGCTAGACCTTAACAGCTGTTTTATCATGAATCATGTGCTCATGAGTTACTCATTTTCAATGATATAAGTGATCTTACAAACTGAGTCAATATGAAAAGGTATGCAGGTTTAATAGTACAATGCGCATAACCAGCATACCCAATAGGCACATAACCAGCATACCCAATAGGCGCATAACCAGCATACCCAATAGGTGCATAACCAGCATACCCAATAGGCGCATAACCAGCATAACTTATATATTCCCAAAGAGTCGCAATAATAAAGGCTAAAATTCTCATCACAGATCAACTAAGGTTATCATCAATCTATGTTAGTTGTCTGAACAACATCAGAACTTTCAACACAATTTAAAGCCTGATGTTTTTTGTCTCCTTTATTGACAGCTGTTGGATTTATCTTTTGACACGCCAGTTATTCATTATAACACTAAACTGGCTTGTGCGAAGAGGCAATTTTGACCAGTAACTATACCAGTACATTGATGTGTAATGCTTTTAATTCTATAATATTAGCACAATTACTGTACTTTTGTAAAAAAAAGAGGGGTAAGGCATACCTGTAAATTTTTCAAAGCCAAGTTGGGAGACTGAATAAAAAAAATTAGATTGGGACCTAAATTTGGGATGCTTTACATGGCATTTTAGGGCCTTGTTTTACTAAATAGTGATTGATTTTCTGGTCCAATATGGGTGAAATTTGTAAAGGAGGCATGGTTTTTTTCCTGTGACACACCTTATTTTCCCACAGGACATGCCCTATTTTAATACTCTGGTCAGCTGTGGCCAAATTGCATAGTCTTAAATAAACAAGCTATAAAGCCAGGGGGACTAATCAAAATCTTAGCCTTTTATCAATGCAACTATTTTGTTAAAACTACTTAAACCCCTGTCCTTATTTAAAGAAAACATGTTTTACACTATTGTGTGTTATGCAAGCAGAAGCAGTTATTGGAAAATAAGGGATTACCAATTTTGTTGAACTAAAGGTACCTAAATAGGCAGCCTCACGGTACAGTACATGCGGCAACTATTTTCCAGATGTTGTATATCCAACCTTAATGTCAACTCAAGACATTTAGTCTTTTACTAAAAAAATTTGAATTCTGAATTAGTTTATTTTTGAGGACATGTATGCTGCGTGGTATGCATTATCACTCCTTTCAATTTAATTATGGTAAAGTTCATATATATCATATAAAAATGTTAGGTGCTCGCTCGTGTAAGTTTCTTCGGTGGGAATAGAGCTACAGCATTCACAGTGATCATTATTGGGATTGAAAATAAATGCTGAAAATCTTATTATTGTGGTTGATTTTTTTGTTCTGGCTTATTTTCTGATTTTTGTATTGTTGTACATGACCAAAAAATTATGTGTGATATGTGTGATTTAGATTTTTAACGAAGCTTTAACAATTTTTCAGTCATATTGCTTCAATGTCTGCAGTGTGGCAGTTTATAGTGATGTCTAGAACTGGGCATCATGCTGCAGACATATAGTATGATGTCCCACCCTGTAACATTATCCTGACAAGAGGCCGACCAGTCCTAACACTAACCTCTTAATGCTGCATGCCAAGTGAGGCAGCTGTTAGTACCATTTTTTTTAAGTCTTTGATATGACTCAACCGGGGATTGAACCCATGACCTCCCGCATCCAAAACAGACACTCTAACCACTAGACCACTGGAGTGGTTAAAAAAAAATTTACATGAATAATTTTAAAACTTTTCATCTTATTTATCAAAGAAGTGAATTCTTTCTAGACAAGTAATTATTTTGGTAACTACAATATTCACAGGTGATACAACAGAACATGGCTTTCATATGATATATCTGTTTATGTAGGATTTTTCTTTTTAAGGAAAAATAAAAGTCAGACATATTGTAATAATTGTGAGTTCTCTGCGAAAATTGGGAGGTAGGCATACAGTGACTGCAAAATGCATGATTTTTTTTTCTTTTTTCTTCCGGCCTGAGAATTGACATGTATGGGGTAAGGTCATTTACATGGACGCAAACTACACAGCTTTTACGGCATCAGCATAGTTTTCATACGGCATCAGCATAGTTTTCATATGGCATCAGCATAGTTTTCATATGGCATCAGCATAGTTTTCATATGGCATCAGCATAGTTTTCAAAAGATTTTTCTGAAACTTCATTATTGTATTTTGGAGATATCATTACAGTTTAGTGCAGTGGCATCCATGATTCTACTCCAAAGGATGTATTCATTCAGCGCATGTTCAAACCTACATTGTACATGTGGTGGTGCCATTATGTAAATAGCCTTAGAGCATTGAGTCAATCTGTATCGTTGTTCGCTGCATTCTCATACAGGGATTAAAGTTTAATTTTTTTTTCAAGGGAAAAATAAAAATGTAATTACTGGTGCATTGATTTAAAATGTCCAATGCAATAATGCATACAAAAATAATAGAGTCAAAAATGAGAAGTAGGGTTACAGGAACTTGTGATTGCTCAATTCTTGTCACTGTTTGATCAAATTATACACAATTCTAATTTAGGCAGAAACAATAAGAATGCAGAAAATTAAATAAATTACTTTTCAAACAAGTTTATACCAATTCTTTGAAATATTCATATATGCAAACCTCAAAATAAGTATATGTGTAATTTTTGTTAGTATGAGTTTGCTTAAAAAAATGCATTTAAAACTTATCAAGTGCATCTTGTGATGTCTCAGAGTTGCGGGTCAGCTTATATGCAGGTCATGTGCTTTTTATTGCTTATACCTGTTCAGTTTGGGGGGGGGTTCGGCTTATACACAAGTATATATTTGAGACTTGTTTTTAGCCATCAGAGATTATAATCACAGCTATTTATGAATTGTTTACAGCCATGAGATCATAATCACAGCTATTTGTGAACTGTTTTCACAGATCAGAAATTAAAATCATTGCTAGCTGTGAATGGTTTTCAATTATCAAAAAATTGAAGTCATGGCTATATGTGAACTGTTATCAGCAATTCGTAAAGATTGATTAAATGATCTACCAGTCAGATGATAGCAGACATTTACATCCACATCTTGAAGGTCCTTTACACTCTCTTCAGCAGATATTACTTTCTTATAATAGATCGTGATGGTGGGAAAAATCTAGGAGCACTATCTCTTTAAAAAATTTTAATCTTTTCAACTCATTATCAAAATCATATCTAGAGAGACTCAAATCAGGGGCTATTTTTTTAGCCGTCCTTGATAGCATCTGAAATTCCAAAACTCGTTGCAAATGTCAGGAAAACTAAGTATTATGCACAGTCCAAAATAAAGTTTAAAAACGTGCTCAAGAAGCGGATGAGTATACGATGTCTGATGATATCGCAAAGTCTCTTTGTTGTTTACCTATGAATGAAGTGTAACAAAATAATGTATAAACATGTCATTCCAGTGTTTATAAAGTTACCCCAAAAATCATTATTAAAATTTGGGTGGTGTTGCAATTTACCACACAACATTAAACTATTTTATTACTATGATGTCACGTTATGAAAGTCATATAACACACTGCAACAAAACATTTAGCATTCTCACAGAGTAACATCACTGAATAAAACAGTTCTATTTCTGCAATTAACTTGACCTTCAGTTAACAAAGATTATAATCAGCATGGAATAACTGCAAAATAAGTTCCTCAATCTTGTGTATTCCTAAAAGTCATTCATTTGATAAAATCCATATTATTATTCAATGATAAATTCAAAACTGTTTTACATTTTGTTGTACTTAATCTTGGCATTAGTAAAATATATTCCTTTTGAAAACAAAAAGTAATAGAATGTCTTCATATCGCATGACAATAAACTGTTCATATATGCTGTATATATTAAGTTCACGATACATGTAAATATATTTCTGATATTTTGATATGTGTCATGTTTACTTGCTTATATATTTCAAGTGACTGATAGATCCACTGGACCTGATACATATTTCATTAGTGTATTAACTAATTATTTAGTTTGTACTGTGTATAAAATGTCACTGTAAAAATTGATTACTTGCATGCTTAATAATTATGTTGATAACTCTTTACATATTCAAAAACATGCTTTTTAGCTACGCATATCCATAACTTTTGCTATTATTTTCTTTTTTATTGCCAATTATGGTCCCTCATAAAACATTTTTGTAAATTTATGAATTGTTCATGGAAACTGATAAAATTAGAATCATGCAAATCTTTTCATTTAAAATGCAATATATTTTCTTTATGAAAGTCATGTGACACTGACATATTGAATATTTTCATTCGACAAAGATGTACATAGTTTGAAATTCCTAGGAACAATATATAAAACAAAATATTTTGGCAAACTTTGCAAAAAAAAAAGAATATCACAATGTAGTGAGATTATGTCAACAAAAAATTTCATGCAACAAAATATAATGAAACATCTGCAAAATTTTAAAAATGCTTAAAAAAATTGTATTTTACACTATTATATTTTAGTAGCAGAAAGATTTGCAGCAGATGCAGCCAGAAGTCCAATATGCTGCAAACAACTGATGAAAGCTATAAAAGAAATAATTATATCAGTCCATTAAAGAAATAGTTTTTTTCTGAGGTAGTTATCTGAGCTACCATGATTTTTTTTTCTTTCTACTAACATGTCTTGCTTTCATACAGTTTTTTTAAAAATGCATTTAAACAAAATGGCACTCATGCTGCTATTGTTTTGCTAAGTTTCAACATGGCTGCACATTTGTTCACACTGTTATAGCCTCTACCTCCCATCCACCCTCCTACAATGATTTATGGCTGTGCTTCGGTCGTACAGTTAGTGATCAAGTTCCCACTTCCCAAAATCTCATAAACATCCATAGTAATTTCTAAGATTTGGATTTAATTTAGCAACTTGTTAAAATATCCAGCATTTTTATATAGGTTTAGCATCCTTGACAAAAATAAAAATTTTGATAAAATTAAAAGCTTGCTGACAACTAACGTTATTGTTCCCATAACTTTTAATATTAGTGTGTTATGACCAATTAAACATTTGAATTTTTAACAGACATCTTGTAATGGCCAATTTACTATCCAAGAAATATTTGTTTGACTACAATATTTTCATTTTTCTACAAACTGCAGTAAATGTAGCACATAATAACATTTAAAAACTGCTTTTTGTTGGAGTTCATGAAATTCTGAAAGTGAGAAATTATTTGTCCACCGACTGCATCTCATTTAAAATGAGGACAGAGGCCTAGCCAAATGCTATAGTTCATTTCCCAGCCTGCATAGCTCAGCTAAGATGAAGTCCAAGTCAGCCTTGGTAATGGCTGGGTTGGAAATGGCAGTACGGAAGAAATTAGGGAGGTCATCCAGAGGTTGGTACTGAAGCATGACGGTCCCCTTTTCCATCATCATGGCCTTCAACCTTGGCGCCACCTGTAAACAGAAGCAAAGAGTTTATATAGATTGAGAGAGAGAGAGATCCATCAACATTAGGACTATCAAAATGTGCTACCTTTAAAGTAAAATCTTGAAGGACTTTTAGTTATGAAGACAATAGCTGTTCTTGTTTTATGGAAGTGTACAATCAATATATTATAATTACATCCATTTGGTTTCCTACACAACTGTACAATCAATATATTATAATTACATCCATTTGTTTTCCTACACAACTGTACAATCAATATATTATAATTACATCCATTTGTTTTCCTACACAACTGTACAATCAACATATTATAATTACATCCATTTGGTTTCCTACACAACTGTACAATCAATATATTATAATTACATCATTTGGTTTCCTACACAACTGTGCTATTGACATATTATAATTACATCATTTTTGTTTCCTACACAATCAATATATTATAATTACATCATTTTAGTTTCCTACACAATCAATATATTATAATTACATCATTTTAGTTTCCTACACAATTAATATATTATAATTACATCATTTTGGTTTCCTGCACAATCAATATATTATAATTACATCCATTTGGTTTCCTACACAACTGTACAATCAATATATTATAACTACATCCATTTGGTTTCCTACACAACTGTACTATTGACATATTATAATTACATTCATTTGGTTTCCTACACAACTGTACAATCAATATATTATAATTACATCATTTTGGTTTCCTACACAACTGTACAATCGACATATTATAATTACATCATTTTGGTTTCCTACACAACTGTACAATCGACATATTATAATTACATCATTTTGGTTTCCTACATAACTGTACAATCGACATATTATAATTACATCCATTTGGTTTCCTACAAAACTGTACAATCAATATATTATTGCATCCATTTGGTTTCCTACACAACTGTACAATCAATATATTATAATTACATAATTTTGGTTTCCTACACAACTGTACAATCAATATATTATAATTACATCATTTTGGTTTCCTACACAACTGTACAATCAATATATTATAATTACATCCATTTGGTTTCCTACACAACTGTAAGCTCAACATATTATAATTACATCCATTTGGTTTCCTACACAACTGTACAATCAGCATATTATAGTTACATCCATTTGGTTTCCTACACAACTGTACAATCAACATATTATAATTACATCCATTTGTTTTCCTACACAACTGTACAATCAACATATTATAATTACATCCATTTGGTTTCCTACACAACTGTACAATCAATATAT